CAAGTATCTCTTCAGCCTGACCTGAATGGACGGTGAAATATGCCATAATTAGGCAATACCAATAGCATCAGAAATACATAAGCTGATAATTAGATTATTAAAGCTAGTATGAACCTCAGGATATATAGTTCCCAAATGCATCTCCCAATCGTTCATGGTTGGCAATTCACCCGGAATGCAACGAAGCTTTCCTGCCATGAAGTCCTGCATGGATGCAACCATACTGTGTGCTTAACAAATTAGTAGCTTGAGACAAACAAAGACTGCAGCTAAAGAAGAAATCCGCAAATTACAAGGCTATGAAGGATAGATGGAAACCCGGAAGGTCATCCCAGTACAGTCGAAATGCCTCTTGTTCCGATAAACAAAGTACATGGGAATATCAAGAGCATATTCGACATACTTCTCGAACCTGTGTAAGAAAACTAATTTAAGAAAAGATAAAGAAGATAAAAGAAAACCAACAAAATGCGTTTGAAGGTTTGTACACCTATGAATGCAAAATCAGGCAATTGATAAAGAAGGATCACAAAACAGTGTAGAAAAAATATTAATGTCTAGGAAACTGCTAGTTTTGGTTAAGATTCTTGAAAACAGTCTGTTACAGAACAAACAAGTGAAACAAGTAAGAAGATTAGGATAAAAGGAGACACGTTGTGTTTTTCAACAGACATTGGATTACCTATTATCAAATAGAAGTAAAGGTTAAAAACATTTGGACTCTGACATATTAAATTATAGTCACAGGAGAAACTAAGAACTTCTTTCATAAGTACAAAAAAGATCTTACCCAAAGGTGTCATCTAAAACAAAAGGAATCATGCCAGTGCGATCCTTGTCAGTATCAGTCCAAATTTGACTATTACAAAAAGTTGAAGAATCAATGCATATTCCATGGATAGTAGAATGCATATGAGCAGAAAAAACAGAACCGCATATGGTTTTTATTTTGGATAATCATGTATTATAACTTACGATAATTTTTCATAATCAATTTATTATAAGATAGCACGTGATCCACGCAGAGGGAAAATGGTGAGGATAATTTGTTTTCTTGCTTATTTTATAACCAGGCCCAATATGAGACAGTTTAAAACATGCATCAAATACCCCACTACTGGAGTTTTCTGCTATTTATTCCCACCATAAGGCAATGACAAGAATCTGACTCGAAGATTTGTTTACACATTGCAATCATGAAATTTAAAAGAAAATAATAAAGATAAGATATTTTTAAAGCACGAGTAACACACAATAAAGCTAAGTCATCATAATAAGGCTAGTCATAAAGAGATATTTTAACTCGTCACAAATATAGACAACTATCACTAGACCGAAGTGTAATTTGTCAATCATAAAGTTATTTTTTGCTTAGTGGAATCCGTGGCAATTAAGATGGAAATGAGTCTTACATGTGCAATCATGCAGTTGTTTTTAGTCTTGTCTTTTTATTGCTTTTTTCTTCGAGCATTAAGATTTCTTGCTTTTAATATGCATTTGAAATCCATGCCCAAGCACAGTTGAAGTCCAGATTAACCTAAAAATAGTGAATAAAGAAGGTGTGCACGAGTTTAAAAATCTTCCTCCTGGGCAAATCAATGGAATATCACATTATGAAACATAGCTACCCTAGCAAGAACCTGCTTAGATTAGTAAAAAGCATCTCACCTGTGCAGTGCAAGTCCTGAACATCAAATCGAGTCCGAGCGAGCTAACTTTGGGCATGTAATTTCTAATAATTTCGAATCGTTCCTGAGACAAATTACTTGATCAGAACGTCAGTAATCAAAGTCCTAAAAACAAATATGTAAAGTGACCAAATTGGACATCATACAAGACAGCAGCATGAAATTTGAAAAGGAACATTTGAAGTTAGAGCATGAAACCGTAAGAGCTAGAAGTAGAAGGTGATGTGCTTTGATGTTTCAGCATGTGCCATCTAAATTCCTTATCTAACTAAAATGCATTTCCATATGTTAAACAATACCTTGGGCATCATAGGTATATCTTTAACTTCCCATTTAGGCTGACAACCAATATCAAGCAATCCGATTCCCATTTCCTTTAGAACTGCTTTAACCTAGTAAAAAAGGAACATATGAACAAGTTAACTCCAACGATAAAAACAGAAATCCCATTGTGAACTAGACTTTATTTAAAGAAAACTAACCTCACTTGCATAGTTGCAAGTGAATTCAAAAGAAAAATTATTTTCACTGACCTGATAAAGATGTGAATTGACTTCAGCACAAACTTGATGCAGAGTTTCAAGAGGTGCACCGCTATGCTCGAATTGACCTCCAGGCTCCAGTGTTATGCTCTGCTTACCCTGGCCGACAATGTCACATATTTTTTTAAAGATCACATAAAACAAATGGCAAGTGTTTCTTGATAATTGATTTGAATATATGGAGTCATATATTTAGCCATTTTACCTGTTTGAGTGCAATAATGTTGTTGCCTTCCATGATTTTATCCCAATCAAATCTATCAGCAATCCCATTAAGCAACTCGGCAATGTGTTCATATTTCATAGGATGTAAAGTCTTTAGATCAAAGCCAAACCTCTCCTGCTCAGTGCCAATTCTGAGGATGGAAGAATATACTGGAACAATGATCTGACTATGTTCGGTCCAAATTAGAAATGAAACTTCACGCCTAAGATTTACATCACAAATTATTCCTGTGGAAAGGTATATCTGTAATCACAAACTGAAAGCAGCTTTTAAAAAAACCCTAAAGATTACACCTGAAAATTTGCAAGGTTTACATGTATACAAGTTAGGACAAGCTATTCAACTAACTCTGTTCCATGTAAAATGATGATGCATATAAGTACCTCCAATTTTCTTTAGTCTTGCATCCAGAGGCAAGATACCTGATAAGATCCTCTTTGGTCAGTGGCTCTGCAGCAATAACAGCCGCTTCTGTGGGAGGGCTTGCAGCAACTATCGCACAACGTCGTCCCCTCTGTCCTACTTCTGCATTGTCTACATGCATAGCATGTGTCTTGCTGGCAGTATAAGATAATAAGGAAGAGAAGACAGTGCAGTATGATGTCTGTGAAATGAGTGCCATGGCCAAACTTACCGGCCGGTTCTGACAACCTCGGCCACCTCATTCAAGAACCCAGATTCCTTAAAGCGCCATCCTGCAGCAAAAAAGATGCCATAATCTAGTCATGCAGAGACACAGCCTCACACAAACACACATACGAGGCAGCAAGAGAAGCCCAATTTGCCTTTGCCAACTTTACGACATCTTGGGCAACATGCTTGAGCAACCCATCTCGAAATGGTGTCTTTAGACCAGCTATGGGGACCTACTTAAAATAACTCTACAATTAGATTTGCAAACTGAATAACACAAATTTAAGAGGTCAGTATCACTACCAACAAAACAGAGTATGGAATTTATCCTGTGGTTCAATCTTCATGAATTAATATTGATTTGAAGCAAAGGTAACTTAACAAATTGAATTCCAAGGTCGTGCAATTAGCTATAGATTTGATTTTATGAGAAAATAAAAAGACAGAACATGGGACAATAAATAAATGAGTAAAAAGTAGATAACTATCACTCAATCTCTTTAGCTGGATTTTAACCACAATGGCTAGGCCATCTCATTGCCTGGCCACCCAAATTACGATTCCAGCACCAATGAGTGTCCTCCTAGGCTCCAACACCAATAGGTTATGTGCAATGCAACAATCTTTTCTTTAGAGCCATTGACACTATTCTGCAGATAAAATAGATGTGGACTGAATGAATAAAAAATACAGCAAAATTATGCCCACACGTAACATGTGAGGATTACACCCCAAATATCAATTAAAATTGCACTTGTGTTTCCCACTCTCTATAAAGAATACTTTTAAATAATAGGAAAATTGAGAGCAGGAACATGTTCTTGCATTTTCAGCTATCTTTCCTTGTTTTTTTCTTTATCTTGCACAAAACTAATAAAAGTAGATCATCTTGTCTCTGGAAACATCACAAAGACTAACGGGGAAATCGAGCAGCCCTTCTTCACACACATAACTAATCCTAGAAACCCTATTGCACCTGCAGCTCTTACGCATTAAACAGAGTAATAACACAGGGCCATTGCAAGTTCTGTGTTCATAACTTCAGTTCTCTTCTCTTATACATTTTCCTCTTGACTAATAAACCTCTTATAACCCAAACAAAGTAGCATATTGCATAGTTTTTCCATAAAAAAAACATTCAAGCTTTCCCATTAAAAGTTCTATGTTGATAACTTCAGTTCTCTTTTCATTTCACCTAAAAGGTTGATCTAAAAGAAGGAAACTTTAATAGTAGGGTCTGTTTTCTAATTCTCCCTAAAAAATTATGCCCACGAGTTACATGTGAGGATATCACCCCCACTTGTCAATTACATTTTCAGAAATGTGTTTCTGACTTTCTCTGAAGATTCAATAAAATATTACAGAATTCATGTTGGTTGTTAAAACACAAGAATCAGTCAGAACTTTAGACTCAAAAAAATAAAATTCAGTCAGAACTGGAAGATATAAGATAGTATAGAGTAGGGCACACAACACAGAGCAGGAAGAGAACCCCAAACTACCTTTGCCGACTTTGCCACATATTCCCCCTCTATTTTCAGCTCATTTTCTGACAATTTAAGCTTTCGGGTCTAATTGCCAAGGACAAGGAGAAAAATAAAGGCGCATCCTGGTGGATAATTAACTTACCTGTTCTGACAACCTCGGCCACCTCATTCAAGAACCCAGATTCCTTAAAGCCTCTTCTTTCCAGGCCATCCTGCAGCAAAAAAGATGCCATAATCTAGTCATGCAGAGACACAGCCTCACACAAACACACATGCGGAGCAGCAAGAGAAGCCCAATTTACCTTTGCCAACTTTACGACATCTTGGGCAACATGCTTGAGCAACCCATCCCGAAATGGTGTCTTTAGACCAGTTATGGGGACCTACTTAAAATAACTCTACAATTAGATTTGCAAACTGAATAACACAAATTTAAGAGGTCAGTATCACTACCAACAAAACAGAGTATGGAATTTATCCTGTGGTTCAATCTTCATGAATTAATATTGATTTGAAGCAAAGGTAACTTAACAAATTGAATTCCAAGGTCGTGCAATTAGCTATAGATTTGATTTTATGAGAAAATAAAAAGACAGAACATGGGACAACAAATAAATGAGTAAAAAGTAGATAACTATCACTCAATCTCTTTAGCTGGATTTTAACCACAATGGCTAGGCCATCTCATTGCCTGGCCACCCAAATTACGATTCCAGCACCAATGAGTGTCCTCCTAGGCTCCAACACCAATAGGTTTGGCATGAAAGACGTTACAACTTACAAATGAGTGCCAAAAGTTTGCAACCTGACCACAGTATATGTCGCGAGGGCAAAATGTCAACCACTCCACAGGGTCATTTTTTCTCAACTTTGTCGAACATACAGTGTCCAGAATAGAGATACAAATTTGAAATCATGCATGCAAAGGAAAAAGCGCTTTATACTTTCTTTTCATTGAGATAAAACGTGTAGGATTTAACGTCACCTTATTTTCGCATCATCAAATAATGGCTTTTGTGTTCCAAAGAAAAATTTTCGCATTTTTATAGCCCTAGGATGTTTGCAGCACGTTTCAAATGCGTTATAGAAGTTTTTTTTTGTCATTGGCTGAGTTTAGATGCCAGAAAACAGAAAAATAGCTTTTCTGTTCTTATTTTGGTCAAAACTAGACTTTCTGCCTAATTAATTTTTTTGCTGTTTTTCAGGTCAATCTAATGCCACTAACATGTGTAGAATGGTTATTATGATGATTTGGACTAGGTTTGGGGGTCTCAGGTGGCCTACATTATGTTTTAGGACGATTTGAAGCTCAAAAAAGGACCTAAAACCCAAAACTTAGATTCATTCATTATCTTATACAACTCATGTGATCTCCATTCTAGTTCAGAACTTAGATTGTTTGGATTTCTCAATTTCTAGATGCAACTCATAGGTAAGAATTGGAATCTTTAAAGAACCACATATTGCTTATCCTATGAATATTATCTTGATTGTGAAATCTAAACTTTTTAGAAATCATTTTGTATTAGATTTATCATATCTCAATATTCTAAACAATCAATGTAAGAATAGTTTCATACATTCATCTTCAGAGCTGTTTAAAAGGTTGCTTTTGAAGCTTAAAAACAGTTCATCCCAAATGCCAATTCTATCTTAGGACTGAAGTTGCATAGTTAATCTGCATAATTTTTCTTTGAAGAAAAAAGTGTATTGCAGAATTCAAGCTGATCCTTGTCTCTTTTTTGTTTTCTCCTCTTCTTGTTTTGAAAAAATAAATGCGCTTATATTCTTTTGGTACAATATTCAATAAAAAAGTTTTCACTCCCTTTTTCTTTCTTTTGGTCCGGATCCAAATTAACAGAGCAACAACTCTTGGAAGCACAAACAGGCACGGAAAACAACTTAGAACTCTATTGATTAAGGTAAAACTTTAGAACACTAATGTAACCCTTACGTACAAGCCAAGAAAATACAGAAGCTTAACCTGTTTCCAAAATACCAGTAGAGATATTAGTAACAAAGTGTAAAAAAAAATATAGATTTAAGCTTCAAAATGTCTTCCATCACCATCCCAAAACTACGAATCCCAGAATAACTCCATTATGTGAATCAGGCCCGGAAAATAGCTAGAACAAAGAAAAAACAAAATGTCACCATAGTTCATAAGCATAGTGGTAGTCAGGATTCATCTCAAGAAGTTTCAATTACTTTTCAACCTTCCAAGAATATACTGGAACAATGATCTGACTATGTTCGGTCCAAATTAGAAACGAAACTTCACGCCTAAGATTTACATCACAAATTATTCCTGTGGAAAGGTATATCTGTAATCGCAAACTGAAAGCAGCTTTAAAAAAACCTAAAGATTACACCTGAAAATTTGCAAGGTTTACATCCAAAATGACCCCGCTGAAGTGCCTCACCTCAGTAAAGTAGCTCCTCAAAAACAGGGTCTATTTGTTGTCCCCACTTCCCGTTATACAATTCCAATAGCCTCTCAGCTGGTGTTACACCGGCCATGTAATTAACTTGCAATGTGAACAGTGAATACCTCCCGAGAAAAGGAAAAATAAAGGCGCATCCTGGTGGATAATTAACTTACCTGTTCTGACAACCTCGGCCACCTCATTCAAGAACCCAGATTCCTTAAAGCCTCTTCTTTCCAGGCCATCCTGCAGCAAAAAAGATGCCATAATCTAGTCATGCAGAGACACAGCCTCACACAAACACACATGCGGAGCAGCAAGAGAAGCCCAATTTACCTTTGCCAACTTTACGACATCTTGGGCAACATGCTTGAGCAACCCATCCCGAAATGGTGTCTTTAGACCAGTTATGGGGACCTACTTAAAATAACTCTACAATTAGATTTGCAAACTGAATAACACAAATTTAAGAGGTCAGTATCACTACCAACAAAACAGAGTATGGAATTTATCCTGTGGTTCAATCTTCATGAATTAATATTGATTTGAAGCAAAGGTAACTTAACAAATTGAATTCCAAGGTCGTGCAATTAGCTATAGATTTGATTTTATGAGAAAATAAAAAGACAGAACATGGGACAACAAATAAATGAGTAAAAAGTAGATAACTATCACTCAATCTCTTTAGCTGGATTTTAACCACAATGGCTAGGCCATCTCATTGCCTGGCCACCCAAATTACGATTCCAGCACCAATGAGTGTCCTCCTAGGCTCCAACACCAATAGGTTTGGCATGAAAGACGTTACAACTTACAAATGAGTGCCAAAAGTTTGCAACCTGACCACAGTATATGTCGCGAGGGCAAAATGTCAACCACTCCACAGGGTCATTTTTTCTCAACTTTGTCGAACATACAGTGTCCAGAATAGAGATACAAATTTGAAATCATGCATGCAAAGGAAAAAGCGCTTTATACTTTCTTTTCATTGAGATAAAACGTGTAGGATTTAACGTCACCTTATTTTCGCATCATCAAATAATGGCTTTTGTGTTCCAAAGAAAAATTTTCGCATTTTTATAGCCCTAGGATGTTTGCAGCACGTTTCAAATGCGTTATAGAAGTTTTTTTTTGTCATTGGCTGAGTTTAGATGCCAGAAAACAGAAAAATAGCTTTTCTGTTCTTATTTTGGTCAAAACTAGACTTTCTGCCTAATTAATTTTTTTGCTGTTTTTCAGGTCAATCTAATGCCACTAACATGTGTAGAATGGTTATTATGATGATTTGGACTAGGTTTGGGGGTCTCAGGTGGCCTACATTATGTTTTAGGACGATTTGAAGCTCAAAAAAGGACCTAAAACCCAAAACTTAGATTCATTCATTATCTTATACAACTCATGTGATCTCCATTCTAGTTCAGAACTTAGATTGTTTGGATTTCTCAATTTCTAGATGCAACTCATAGGTAAGAATTGGAATCTTTAAAGAACCACATATTGCTTATCCTATGAATATTATCTTGATTGTGAAATCTAAACTTTTTAGAAATCATTTTGTATTAGATTTATCATATCTCAATATTCTAAACAATCAATGTAAGAATAGTTTCATACATTCATCTTACAAAGCATATAGAGATCAAACTTCATATTACCATAATACGAATAGTCATATATAAAGCAAACTAGTGGTTATGTCATACAAACCATAAAACTATCTTCTTAAACATGAAGATAGCAAGTAAGTTCTTTATACATTTCAAAACCAAATAAACTAAATAAGTTCATAAGTTCTAAAAGATCTCCATAAACAAACAAAAGCTTGCTTGACGATTCCGAATCACAACAATCTTCATCTCTATGAGCTTCCTACTTGTTCTTTGTCTGTGCAACAACATGACCCACAATAGATCATTGTTTGTTGGACTTAAGTAGGGTATAAACATTTGCTTAGAACTTTAATGACAAATTAAACTGTACCTTCAGCTCGGTTGTCCTTCAGGCTAGCTAAGTAAGCATGACAATTCTTTTTCCAGTGTTCGTCTTTCCCACAATGGAAATATTGTCCTTTCGCCTCTTTTCCTTCTGCATGTTTCTTCTTGACACCTCCCTTGGGTTTGAGTTTAGGGTTCCATTTCTTCTTCTTGTTGGCATTGAATTTGCCTTTCCCCTTATTACCGAGCTTAGCAGAAGAAGTTGAACCCTTCTAAAAAACAGCAATGATCTCATCACATCCTTATTTCTTGAAGGTCTTTTTAGCAGTCACACACATGTTCAGCAGCTCTGAAAGTATGTGCTCCATCTTCCCCATGTTGTAGTTCATAACAAACTGGGAGAAGTAATCAGAAAGGGACGCAAGGAAGATGTTGGTGGCCAAGTTACAGTCCAGTGGACTGTTAAGACTTTCCAGTTGCTCAATGAGTCATATCATCTTCAATCCATGTTGGTGGACTGGAGTTCCCTTAACCATCCTGGTCTTCAAAAGCTCACATACAACGCTGAAGCGTCTGTTGCCTATGCCTTCTCTATCAAGATCTTGGAGATGGGATATTATGACAGCAGCATGCATCATATGCTCATGCTGTTTCTGGAGCTCCTTATTCATGGAAGCCAGGATGTAGCACTTGGCATGACAGTCATCATCCACGTGCTTGTCATAATTAGCACGTACTTCCTGAGAAGCATCTTCAGTAAGGGGCTCTATGTTAGGAGCTTGCTCTAGTACGTACACAATCTTCTCGATAGTTATCTTGAGATTGTGGTACCATATTGGAAAGTTATGGCTCTATAGACAATGTTTGTCAAGGAGTTTGGGGAATGCTGATATAGACATATCTACAAATACATATAGCTAAGTGTTAGATTTATTTTAGATTTACCATTGGCTCGGGTCTTTAAGTAAAAAGGTAACTCCCACTATTTTTGGAAAATTCTCATATCCCTCAAGATGGAATATGAGAGTTTTGGTTAAAACTCTTAGTGGGATGGGAGGCTCCCTATTATTCGGATCACCGCACCGTAATAGGATCTAAGGATACTTCAGACAATAAAGAGAAGGCGCACTTGCCTCTTCACATCTTTATGAGATTACCTATTTCATTTGGCCTCTAGAAAATGTGAACCCTCAAATGTTATTTTGAAGTCCCATTGTACTAGTTAAGTCTTAACCCACCATGCTTGCTTAGTGTAGGAATCAAACATGAAACCTCATCATATGGCCTATGCTTGTTCCTTCCTTTGCAACATCAAATGCATGAAATGGATCCCTCCTAAACATGTGTCGTTGCTGTCAACTTCCCCATGTTTGAGGCAATCCTTCACAAATGTCATGAATCCATCATGGTGGAAGGCCACACAAAGGACATCAAGAATGCCTTTTGCTTATCGACTTAATGTTATCAATTGATTGAGGGAGTTTTTGGGTATCATCTTTTATCTTGTTAAACACTTTAATCGTTTTGACAATATATTGTCCTAGGACAACTATTACTCCATTTAAACATATTAACAGTTACACTATACTCCCACTATTTAGTTTCAAAAACTCAAAGCAATTTCATAAAACTATTTTATTTTGAAATTGGAAATATGTGTTACCATTAACGAAATACCTTTTGCATTTCTTAAGTATGGTTAAATAGTTGTCTATAGGTTCATAGATGATTATGGACTTTTTATTTTTGATTTAACATCGAGCCAAGATGTTGAATCTAGGTCTTTGGCGGGTGATTGATTTTATTACGCGTTTTAACTTCTTTAAAACATTCATGGCTGATGGGCATTGGACCCAAGACTATTCTCAAAGTCCCTAACTAATCTTCTTTCTCCTTTATCTCCTTCTTGGGCTCCCTTATTCCTAATCTCTATAGAAGACTCAAGGCCCAATAGACCTTGAGGGAATTGTGTTTGGAGGGAGATAGAAATTTCAAAAGAGAATGAGATAGGAGACTCAGCTTCTATTTAATTTACAAACCAATTGCTAATTTAAGCAACTTCAAAAAATAAAATTAGGTACAATCCATCCATTCAATCAAACTCATTCATCTAATGAATTAAGGGCCAATCACATAGCTCAATTTGGTTTTTGGGGCCTTAAGCCCATAATCATCCTTATTTCAATAATTTAATCAAATTAAAAAATAAAGGATATGATACATTAAACAATTGAGACTTTAGAACCTATGAGCTTATTTCTAATGGAACATTTAAATCAAACATAAAATTTTAATGTTTCACTAAAAACAAAACAATTTTGTTTTTAGTGTATTAGGGCAAAAATTGCAATTTCAAAAGTTATGGGCTAAAACTGAAAATACTACATTTTAAATTTGGACCCAACATTTTTGTGTAATTGCATGAAGACCCAAAATGGGTCTCATCTTTGTGGCTGCAAAAATTTCAAGGGGGAGGGGAGGTTTTGTGTGTGTGGTCCCACTTGTCATGACATTCCAAATTGTACCCATAAAGTATCTTTATTTTCATTGGCCAATTTCAAAAGATGAAATGGCAATGAGAGACACAAAGTACAACCCTATGACCCTTGTCATAAAATATTTTTGACTAACATGTAACCATAATATCTCATACAATTTTATGAATCAAAAACAATATTCTCTAGGGATCAACAAGAACTTTTCATGAAAATCTCAAGAACATAAAGAACATTCTTTTTCTTTCAAAACCTTTTTATAAAATCATATAAAATCCTAAAATCTTGGAAAAAAAATCATATTTGTATTTAGAATTTCAAGACCAATACAACTATGTATATTAGATAAGCAAGAAAAACACACAACAAGGGCAAAAACCCAAAAATGTCGCCACCCCCTTTGTCCATTTTGAATAATCTCTTTCATGCAACATCCAAAACTCCAAGTATCAAGCATACATGTGAATCAATTATGAAAGATATGACATGTTATAACATTTATAACCATGAAACAAAGCCCATATTCTTTCTAAAACTCAAAAGGGTACACCTTTTCATTGACCTTGGCTCTTGATACCACTTGAAGAAAATATTGTGTGAATGGTGTTGTGTAGAGATTTCTAAAAACTCTATAACCAAACTTTGAGAGTATAAATCACCTAGCAAGCCATATCTAATATGAAATCAAAGTAAGAGCGGAAGCATTAAATAAACTAGGGATTCATGCAAGTCTCATTTGGTCCCAATCTTTATAAGTCTATGAAAGTGTGCACCAAAGACTCTCTAAATCCTATTTGAGAGAAAGATATGATGTTCATACCCTTGGAATGAATCTTGAAACCAAGAATGGTGTTCAAGTAGAGGGAGTGGTCCCTTTGTTGTTGGCTCTCCAAATAGGTACAACGATATGCACCTCCCCAAAGCTCTTCACCAAGGATTGAATGGGATCAGAGAATGAGTAGACAACAAGTAATGAGTGGTGCTAGCACCCTCACTTGATGTGACAGATTGAAGGGGTTAGGGAGAGAGAGCTTGATGTTTTCTCTCTTCCAATTTCACCAACTTGAAAAACCCTAGGATGATAGGATTTCATAGCTACACCCCCCAAACCCTACTGTAGCCACACCCCCCCTTTGTGTGTCATATTTTGCTATCTTAGTCCAACACATTAATCTTATAATGTGTCACATATGTGCCTAAGTCCATATGGTCAAATCCCTTTTGAATTTCCAAGTCATATGGGACCTTTAATTAAAGTTTTATAACTTTAAGTGAATAATTAAATTAATCTAATCAATTTAATTACTCTAGTGACTTGACTAATTCAATCACTCACTTATCTAACGAGTGTTGGTCCTGGTCATCCTTAGTTGACCGTGTCAAGTATCGGGTCAATCATTTGACTTTTGACCTTTGACTTTCACTACCAAGTCACAAGATCATTCATTCTCTTCATAATTGCCCAATCGATTCCTTTTCGGTGTATGATCTTATAAGTTCTAACTAGCGAG